TCAAGACTTTTCAAACCCTTTTTGGGTAGGGTGTGGGCAAATTGGTTGTTTGCTTCTAAATTAATTAGCACTGAACTGAGTTCTCCTTCTGAGTTCTCCTGCTCCTTCTGTTGAGGATTTACTGAGGCACTTAATCTCTTTTCTCTTAGCATTTTGTCTGTGGTGTTCAGTAGTGTGTGCAGATTTGGGATGAGCTCTCCAGCACTGAGGTTTTTTTCCTTCCTACCTCTGCTTGTTGTGACAGCTTTAATTCTTCCTTGGTAGCTTCAGTCAAACAGCAAAGGTCCTAGCACTAGCTACTGTGGAACTCACACAAATCCTGTTGATCCAGGTGGAGCCAGAGTGTAGTGTATATACCATGCTTAAATTCAAGGGTTTCCTAGATTAGAGAGTTTGTCTTCCCAAATTCTGTTAGTCAGAAAAGAGACAGAACCTTTTTGGAATTGGCATTTTGGCATTTCAGAGTAAAAGTTTCAAAAAGCTCTTATCCATCTCCTGTGCAGAAGCCTGTTTTTCTCCCCTGGATGTGAGGAAGATGAAGAGCAGCTTTCCTATGCAGGTTGTGTGAGATCTCTGACTGACTCAGAGAAAGTGGGTTTGTAGGAAAAATATTTTCTATAATTTATTTTTTCCTCCTAAATCCTGGCTGAAGAACCATGCATTGCACTGATCATGAGAGTGTATTTCAGACTATTGATTCTCATGTCCCAGTTACATTGTCCCATTTTCCTGAGAGCCAGCCTGAATGTTTTCCTTCTGTGGCTGAGGCTGTTGCTTCCATGTAATCTGTAATGAAGATTTAGAGCACACTCCTGCAATGCTTTATCTTACAGTGGCCTGATGTCAGTGCTGTTTATCAACCATGATTAGTCCTTTTCCAAAACATTGTGAGCAAGCAGCTCTTTCCCATTCACTTTTTGTAGAGGTATATTTCTCTGAAGTCATGTGTTTGAAGATTTTGGTGAACTGTGTAGTTTATTTTTGTATCACTTCTCTACTGTGTCAATTTTCTGGTTTTTCTTCAGCCTTTTGTGCTTACAATGCATTTTCAGTTCATGCCAGATCTTTGGCACTTTAGATGGTGTGATCTGTTAGGGTTTTTTATTATTATTAATTTCTAGACTTTTCAAGTGATTCCTGTACTTACCACAGTTCTTCTGAATTGCAAATGCATGAATTCCTGCTCTTGAGACATTGCCTGTCAAGAAAATTGTCCTAATTAACCTGGTGGTTCCCAATTTGCTAAGCAATCTTAAGTCATAGAGTCTCATCAAGTACCCTTTGGAAATCTGAATATGCTTATATTTCTACTTAATTTCCCTTATCTAAGGTGGTGGCAGTATAAAGCTTCAGCAGATTGGTTCATGAAGTATAACCTCCAGTGCTTTAATCCACTCTCAGACTCTGTATTTATCAGGAAGCTCCAACAGATGGAATATAGATATGGCACGAGCTCAGGACCTGGGAAACCTTAAATGATAGTTTCTTACTGAAACACTGAAAGTTCTCTCATCTTGTGTCATTTAATTTCCTCATTGTATAAATTATCTCTTTGTAATTTAAGAACATGTGTTCCTGTTTTTATTTGTTCTCCTCTGCTTCAATGACAAGGACTTTATTTTCAAAGGCATTTGAAAATGAGGGTAAAATAAAGTCTGTGAAGCAGATTAAGTGTTTTTCTCAATTTAGGTGTTTTCAGTTTTTTGTGTTACAATTTTTCCTGTTCACTGGAATCATAGAAAAAGTTAGATATGCAGGAAAGATTCATTGAACAGCCTATCTTGTTAGTCAAGCCCCCAAAGAAAAACCCAGAATTCTTATTGTTAACGCTACAGAGACAACAAACAGATGGACTGAAAGGAGCAAAAATGATGGAATTTGATGGCTGTGAGCAGTTTTTGCCTTCAAAGCACCCAATCATATTTTCTGACATTGAAGTAGGATGTTTCCAGCTGCTTTTAAATGAATTCCAAAATAACTTTGAAGATAGACATTTTGCTATGTGCTCAAGAGTTGTGTGGGTTTGGCTGTGATATCTGGTGTTTTGAAAGTAATGACCTTAACATCAGGGTTTCCAGTTAACACTCAGTCTGTAACTCAGTTCCTTCTATTGAACAGAAGAAATCAATAATAATATGCTTCAGGACTTACCTGATATAGGCACAAAACACATTTCTATGCAATGCTGCATTTCAGTTTTCTCTGTGGGGATTATATTGGAAAACTGGACTGAAAATGTATTTGTTTTAGCAAGCAGGTCTCATAGACATTTGAGCTATAGAACTGAATGCATTTTTCTGGTGAAGCTGAGACTTCCAGTGATGATTATCAAATCTGAAATGCAAAGAGCAAGTGCTGTGTTGGGTGCTTATTCACAGTGCATAGTAATTTCTCCTTGGTGATTTATCTTGGGGTGTTTTACAATTCAGGACAGTATGTAAGAGCTTATAGCTTTTCTCATCAGCTACTCCTGCTGCTTATAAATTCTATGTAGGCTTCCTAATCATAGGAAGATACCTTTATTAAAACAAGCTACTGGGTAAATGAAGTTTTCCAGTTCTAATCACAAATACATGTGTCATTAAACACATTGGAAAGGCTGAGCACCTTGCAGCTGTCTGTTGATGCATTCTGTGTAATTCTGACTTGTGATAACAGAAACTTTCTGGTATGAACAATCAGGCTAGACTATGAAATATCATGGTGATGGAGTACTTTTTTAAACTCTGCTCTTGGATCTGGATTCTGCCTTTAAAACCAGTCCCTGAGGTGTTCTCAGGGTGATGAGAAGTCACTGTGGTGAAAGTATTCATCTAGGAAGACCATGCTTGTTTTCTGTAGGGGTTACCTGGAAAGTGCTGTGTCCACTTTCAGCTGTTGTGTCTGATATCTGGGTCTCAGACCTGATGATTGTTTTATACAACTCTCTGAACTTTGGAGTTTTGATCCTTGTGGCTCCCTTCCAACTCAGGATATTCTGTGATTCCATGACTGATCCCATTTTCCTTCAAGTGCTTCAATGTTAGAGACTGCACACCTTGTAGGAGTTAGCTTGTTTTCTGAAACTGAAACTTTCCCATCTTGAGAGGAAATAAAGAATCCATTTATTTTCATACCTTTAATTTGGGCTATGACAGATCTCTAAGATTTTGCCATATTCTTCTACCTTTGTTTGCATCAAGCATTGCATTTTGTAGTCACTTGTCTCAAAATGAACTCAGACTTGATTCTAGGATTAAACCTATGCTTTAGCTGAGGAGATAGCTGTATATAGACTAAATAATATTCTGTTAGGTCATTTCAATGTCTGTTCTCAAGAGTAACTTGAATTAACTCACACAGATTTTACACTACAATGCATGGGTAACTTTTGTGTGGTTCTCAAACCACACAACCTTCTAACCCTGTGTTAGAAGCTTTCTCCTGTGTAGGTAGGTGCTGGAGGAGATGCCCATCCTGCTCCCCAGCTGCATTTGCTGCATCTGTGCCTCTTTTGGGAACCTGCTGCTGGGAACTGCTGCATATTCAACCCAGGCACTCCACAGTAATCAGTAACCATAAAACAAGAAATTATGTCTTTAATATACACTTCCACCTCTGTCACCCATTCTGCCCTGAAGCAGATTATATAAAAGGACTTTTAGCATTTCATTGATGCTGCAAACTGCCCCATCTGGCTTCACTAATGCTAATTGTATGAAATTTCTTCCCACTGGTGATTTTCCAATTCCTTTTCCTTTGTTTTGCAGATTTCTGTCATTAATACAGTGATAACTGAAGCATTTCTTGACTTTCTTTCCTAATTCATCTGAACTCTCATGTAATCTTGGACTCTTCTGTTATTTTTTGCCTTTATTATCTTGCCTTTGTACTGTTCAAAATCGCCTTTGATTCTCCAGTTACTCCCCACCAAAGATTAACCACTCTTCTGGTTTTTAAGGGCCCATCAATCCTTTTCTTTGTCTGAAAAATGGGCTGATTATTCCACAGTCAAAAATTCCAGCTTTTAGTCTCAGAAATCTCATAAAGTTTCATATGAATGGAGACAGAGAAAAAACAAAATAATGTTTTTTCACAATGTCCAGTGTGGACCCTGTTGTACACCTTGTACAAGATTGAGGTCCTGTGACATTGATAACTCAGGTCTTTTATCTTAGAGATTTATGAGAACTGTCTCCAAATGCTGCTCAAGTCCATTTAAATAAATTCATATAAAGACTGTGTAAAAAGTAATGATAAATATTAGTCTGCATTGCACATACTCATGATGGTTCAAAACTAGTATTTATTTTCCCTGTGATTGCACTCTGTTACAGGTCAGCAAGTCTGGTCTATATCTGTAGTTGTAATTTTACATGCTGACTCTTTTATTAAAGAAAAATAGAACTCTTGATGGTGCAGGTTATTTTCATAAATAAGCAATAATGGAGAGTGTATCAGAAATACAAGATAAAAACCAGCATCAATAAAAGTTATGGGTTGCAGTAAATAAATAGCCTGGCATTATAAATGTTGAGTTTCTTTAGAGTATAAATGTCATACTCTCTGCAGACATAAGTGTTCAAATCTGACTGAGTGCAGTGGGAGTGGCACAGAAACATTTCAGACCCAGGGATGGACCTTCTGGAAGGATTTTTGAAAACTTCTGGTGAGCAATTTATGGGCTGTGGCTACATGTAAATTTTGAGTGACTTGATTAAAGAGATGTATATTCCAGTGCAGATTGAAAATGCACTTAACGAGCCATGCCCTCAGATTTATTTTCATTTATTATTTTCAAAGAGGCTTGAGTCAGCAGTTTTCATAGAGAATGAGCCTTGCTGTAACACCAGGGCAGGTCTGACACGTCTCTGGCTGAACTCGGTGGCCACAGTTCAGTCTCCTCTGGTGAGTGCCACATGTCTTAAATCAGGTGCTGGGAGGACAGAGCAGGGCTGGAACACCCAGACATAGCCTGATAAATCTTCCCTCTCTCAAGGATGATGTCTACTCACTTCCAGGGCAGCCTCCAGATTTATACTGCTGCATGCTGAGATTAGCAGCTGGATTTTTCATTATTTGCTTGGTGTGCCGAAGGAAACTGGCTGAAGGGGGCAGAAAGAGGGAAAAGTAGCAGATCTTGGTTCCCTGCTGCGTGTCAAGCCAACAAGGAAATCACATCAGCTTGTCTTGAGTACTTAAATCACTGTGTTTTTCAGATTTGTGGTTGCCATAAAGCTAATACAAGATAATAAAAGATTCGTCACTAAAATTTGAGTTTTTTACTAATTATAGTATCTTTATTATTACTGCTGTAAAAACAAAGTATTGATATTTTTCTATTTCAGGCTTCCATTTTAAATTTCCCCCCTCAAAAGTAATAATTGGGTGTGACCATGTTCACAGGGGGTTTTGGATGAGGCAAGAGACGAGAATGTTGACTCTATGTTCAGAAGGCTTGATTTATTATTTTATGGTTTATATATATATATTACATTATAACTATACTAAAAAGAAATAGAAAGGAAAAGGTTTCCTCAGAAGCTACTTAAGCTAAGAAGAGAATAGAAAAGAATGATAACAAAGGCAGCTCTCTCAGATTCTGTCCAAGATAGCTCGGTCCTTGATTGGCCATTAATTATAAACATTCAAGATGGCCCAATCAAAAATCCGCCTGTTGCATTCCATAGCAGCAGATAACCATTGTTTACATTCTTTTTCTGGGGTCTCATCTTCCCAGAAGGGAAAATCCTAAAGAAAGGATTTTTAGTGAAAAAGATATCTGCAACAATTGGGATTTTTTTGTTTATTATGAAATAGACATTGTTTTAAAATGCAGCAGCAATGAAATATTTTTTTTTTTGTCTTGGTGAGTCTGTTTGAAATAGATTTGCTCTGCCAATTTACAGAAAACAGGCAGAGATAAGCAAATGGAGAAAAATATTTCTGGGGGACACTCCAAATTTAAATCAACACTGTTAATGTAAAAAAAATCCCAAAGGTTAAATACTAAGGAGAGAAATTTCTAATACATGTAACAGGAATTTTGGTCACATGGCCTGTCTCATTAAAGCCATTGAAGTGGAACCTCTCCTCAGAGGAAGGCTGCTGGAGTGTGTAATTATTTGCAGGGCAAACTTTGAGTCTGTGGCACACTGGATTTTGTTAGTGTACTGTAAAAAGGCATAAGTATGAGCATACAATAATTCTGTAATTAGAATTACATCAGGCATAATGTTTTTCCATTAGATAGTACGTTGGCTGGTTATAATAATGATTTGGAAGTCTGTGTTCCCAAGCTGCCTAATGGGTGTCTCCTAGCCTTGAACAAAAGGAATCAAATATTCACTCCTAGGCATGACTTAAACTGTTGCATCAATTTTCTACAGTAATTAACATTTATTGTAATTTTCACCTCTGATCAGCCTTCTTCTCATTTAAATCAAAACTTGTCTGGTTTTGAGTTATCAGCAAACAGATTAGCAGGTGATTCGATTCACCTTAGAAATTTAAATGTCTGATAAGTTTTGGCCCTGAGTCAAAGCAGCAAATGAACTTTGGCAGTTTATAGCTGTGAGCCTTATTAATTACCTAAAGAGAAAACTTGCTCATATACAGCTGATCAAGCACAAGGAGGATTTCTAGTGTGTCTTTAAAAATAAGTAGTATTATCTTATGTGTGTCTACTTGTATATACATATCTCCTGTAATGTCAGGTTCAGCTCTTGGATGCAAGAATTGCAGATGTGGGGCTGTGGATGTTTTTTTTTTTTTTTTTTTGCTGATGTTGATCTGCTGCCCAGGAAGCAGTTTGTTCTGTACTAGATGTAATATAATTAACCCTCTTGTTTAGCTCATTAACTCATATTCCATTTTAGTTTTTGTAAGAGACTTTCAAGCAAGAGTTCTTGATGCAGTTTTTCCTGTCTACAAGCTCTAGGTTAGTACTTTAGTGCTGATGATCTGTAAGGATCAAAAGAAAAAAAAAAGGCATTGTAATTTTACCTGGGTTTATTATTTAAACTAGAAAATGCTGAGGGGAAAAAAAATTAGAAATTGTTTTCAAGAGAAATGGGCCAGGAAGACATGATTTGAAATGTCCCAGAAGTGTCTCTATAGAATAAAAGAGGCAAAAGGAATGAAGGAGCCAAGCAGGATATTATTGAAACAGCAGAGAAGGAGAGTTAATTCTAAATACAAAATGGTACTTTTTCCAGTAGCTATCAAGCTTTTTAATTCACTTATCTATACTGATTAATAAATTACTGGATGGTATGGATGTAAATGAAGTAAGTAGAAATTATCTATTTGTCTTAGTCCCAACTAGAAAATAGATTCTTGTGTTGGAGAACTTTCTCCCCAAAACCTGGATAAATGTGCAGAAAAACATTATTTAGTCACAACCAGATCTGTTATTTCAGGCTTTAGTGTCACCCTTCACAATTCTTTCTCTCAAAGCTGAAGCTGTCTGGGAGTGACAGAGGGGAATATCTGTCCATGGAAACATGAACAAAATTCTTGCTTTTCCCTGGTAGCAGGAAGAGCAGTGGGATGGTTACAACAGGAGCAGGAAGGAGCGGCTCCCCTGACCATGGAAATGTGCCCTTTATTCCCTGCACTGCTGCTGTGTGCACTGAGTGCACAACGCCCCAGTTATTGCATTGTATTCCAGGAATAAAGCAATGGTTCCTACTTCTGTGAGCTTGTGAAATGCACACTATTAACATAATATTAATTACAGTAAATTGTGCTTTTTTCTGTGTCTCCTCTTCTCACCTCAGCTGAGTTGCCATAATGCTGTAATTGTTTGATGATGCCAGTAAAAATTTGATGTCTCAGGGGTAATGTCCATGAAATCTTATTTTCTACTGTAGTCCATTAAGAAGATGCTGATATTAACCTGAGAGTCTGAGGTCAGTGTACAGACCATGAATTTGTTCAAGCACACTTGTTTGTTGTACACATAAATCTTTGTTTATAGAAGCCTTCACTGTGTTTTCTCACAGTGGCTCAACTTTACCAGATCTTGGCTGTAATCACAGATTGCATCAAAACCAAGTAACAGCATAGTGTGTGTGTGTCTTGAGCATTTTGGAAAAAGGATACTCATTTTATGATTCCTAAAGTAGGTTAGGAAGATGCAAATGAAAATGTAGCTGAGAATCAATATAGCTTTCAATTTATTTAATTAATGATGGCATGATGGCAGTACAAAACAGTCAGCTTTGCATTGATTGTATTGAAAATATGAGGAAGGAAACTAAAATACTGGCAATTAATTTTTGTAGTAAAATGGGAAACAAAGCAGTTCTATCCCTTTTGCTGGAAGCAATGCAAGGCCACTGTATAAAGCAGATTCTGTTTCCTCATTCCCTCAGCCTCTTGAATAACAACATTTAGAATTTCCATTATCTTTGATTCAGTGCTTTTTGTCAAATCCCACTCAACAGAAGCAGAATTGCTTCACATACCTAAAAGTATTGGTACAAATTTACTCTTGGTGCAAGTTCCTTGACTGAAGACCCCTAAAATAAGGGCTGAGCTTGGCTCAGTTCTGTTGGCTGTAGTGAATCTGCACAGCTCAAAAGACTCTGTTTGGATTCGTCCATGCTACTTCCTATTTCTCTATAAAAATTCTGTTCTGTTTATGCACTGTCTAGGGAGGTGGTAAATTGTGTGAAATCAGTATAAACAGTGAATGAGAAGCACATCACAGTGCTCTGGCTGCCAGGTGGCATCACCTGCTTCACTAAGGAACAGAAAGACTGAAAGAGGTTCTGAAAGCAGCTTCTGACGGCCACCTGCTCCCAATGTTGCATTGCTGACTTGGTTGTCGCTGAAATTGTGGTTCCTGTTCCATTTTGTCAGTAATGCTTCTGTGACTATTAATAGCACAGTCAATTTATGGGGAATCACAACCTTGAACATGCCAAATTCAGAATAAAACCTTACAATGGTATTTTCTATATGTCTGCTCAGGTCACTTGGCAGCCCTTGATTTTATCAATCAGCCTGACTCTTTAAAGTATTTTTGCAGTTTAGTTGAGTGATTTTACTTAGCTTTGCAAGACCTGTCTCAGAAGAAATATTAGTAATGTCTTTCATAAAGGACAGTTTCATCAGAATTTGTATGGCACCTTCTTGGAACTGATGTTGCCCTTCTTTATGATGACAAAATACATTCCCTGCAATGTATCTTGGCTGAGTTTTCACTTCACTTTTCATTGCTTTGTGTTTTTCTATTTTACTCCAGATACAAAGAGTAGAAGTTAAAATACTATTTTTTTAAAAAAGCGCTGTGGTGTCAGGAATGCTATTTCTAAACCCATGGTAACCTTAATTTAGGGATGGATGTGGCCACACTTTGGCCTGCCTGGACAGGGAACTGCTCTAGGAATGACCTTTTTACTTACTTGTGTCATTCATAGTCCCTCTTGGGCTTTCTTGTCACTTAATTAAAAAAAGACAGTGTAATTTGACTTAACTAAATAAGTGCAACTTTCATGGACCTACCATGCAAATTGATTGTAGAGCAGAGGAAAAGCATGAACTGACTAATATATTTATATGTATATATGTGTGTAAAAAATAAAAAAAAAATAAAATACTTGGTTTTTTTGGATAGTTACTTTTTGAGGTAGCAGCAGAAGTCACTTTCCTGACTATGTAAAAATGGTCATGAGTTATTAAACAGCTTCCAGCACTGAAAGGAATGAAAAAATTCATGTCTACAGTCTCACTGCTTGCTTTCTTCATGTCAGCTTCTTTGGCGATTGATTTTGTAAGAGCTTCATGAGCATGGGTTTCCATCTTGTGTTTGAAGGATGCCTCGCTCACTAGAGCCCTGGTAGGGGATTTTATGTGATACCATAACAGAAAAAAATAATTGGGTTTTGTTTGTTTTCATCTTGGGTGCTTAAAAATGAGCAGTGATGAGGGTGAGTATTCCTCCATAAAAGCAGATCTGATTTTTGATCTAGTAAATGTGAGTGTTTTGAGCAGCCTGATATCACTGTGAGATGATAATAATTGTAAGCTTTACCTTATGCTGCTGTTCATGTGCCTCTTGCTCACTTTACAGGCATGAGGCTCATTGCTAAAGACTTT